TTTTTAGAAGCTTATTTTTTTTCTCAATATAAGAGATAGCAATAATATTTTTGAATAATTAGATAATTTTATCCTTGTTTTGAAACATGAAATAAATCATTAATTATATATTTTTTTCACTATCATGATATTAATTATGATATTATTAGGTATAAAACTAAAAAATCATTGTATTTTTTTATGAGTTTAACTAAATAACAAACATTTATTGGCATGCGATATCTGGTTAAAAACATCTTATATATAAGGATAAAAGAAATATTACATTATATGTATGTGTAAATAGACCAGACTGTTGGCCTCGCAGGCTAGATTTTGAAAAAACAAATAGATTTAATTAAAAACTTAAACTTAACCTGAGCATATTTAATAAATAGGCTAGACTAAATTTAAAGTAGGGTTGGTTGTTGGCTCTTGTTAGGAGCCTAACCTATTTTCATTCCTACCAATGAGAGTTACTCTAGCAAAGGAGTCTAGTTCTTCATAAAGCGGCAAACTAAATTTTGAATTATTGCTATAAGAGATGTTCATGTTTAATTTCTAACAATATTTTGAATGTGATTGAATTCAATAAATGGATAACGGATAACCGAAAAAAAAAAGCCCCAAGGCTGAGGACATGCATTTATTTTTTGAGTTTACAAAGCCATGGTTAAAACCGTGCAATTTTAAAAAGAAAAAGCGTGGATAGTTTAAAATTCTGAGGACATAAATTTCTCCCTATTCCTTTGTTAGCCCGTTATACAATTTCCTTTAATATTTACATATAATTCCTAGCCACATCTAAGCATCTCAAGTGGTAAAGAGAAGATGGGGAACATAGTTCAAATTGTTCGATTGTGAGTGGACCTACAGTTGTTCGGAGGTTAGCCAACGTTCTAGTCTGCTTATATATTTTTGGGAATTTTAAAAATTTCTTTCATCTATTGAAGAATCTCCTGTCTTGACTTGCTCTGGTGGATTTAATAGATTTATTTCATTTACTGTTTCACCGACTATTTTGGATACTTCCCAATTTAGCATCAAAAAGTGACCCCGCATTCTTTGATTATTATCCTTCATGAAGACTAGAGCTGATAATTCAAAAGAATCATGTTTACTCAAGTTGAGTTTAATTTAAAAGCTTAAAGCATTTTTTTTTAAAAATTCATATATTTAAAACTCGATCGTATTTTTTTTCATCTTACTTTTTTTTACTCATTTAACTTGGTCAAAATTATAGACTTTACATATATGTAGAATTAATAATTTCAACGGCTAGGCTTATTCATATCAAATTTCAAATATTTTATTTTTTTCCAAAAGCAACAAGTTTAAATTTAGTTCAAATTACGACCCTAATAGAGGCATGAGCAAGATTGTCAGAATGCGTGGCCATTGGCCACCATCTTGGACCAAATTGGTGGGTACTGAAACAGTAGCCAAAACATTGAAGGAAATGAATCTATTAAATCCACTTGACCAAGGATGTCACTCTAATAATTCTTTATAATGTCGAAGTTACATCAAAATAATAAATAAATAAATAACAAAAATATCCCAAAAATATGTGGCCAGACCCAAAAATAGACCTGAACGTTAGGCAACCTCCTAACAAGTCTTGACCCACTTATTTAGCTAACAAACTCATAAATTATTATTATTATTATTATTATTATTTCCTCTGTCGCTTAAAATAAGTTCCAAAATAAGTTTTTAGGCGTAATCAATATTTTCAAAAATATCCCTGGTAGAAAATATAAATTACTTATCTCATCCTTGATATTTAAAAATGAACTCTTTTAAATGTGTCATTTCATCAAGGGCAATAATGAAAAAAATTTTTTTTACTTATTATATACTCCCTCTAAACAAAAGTACAAGACATTGGTAGCTAATTTACAATTTAAAAAAAAAAGTTGAAACCTTAATTTTTTGAAAAAATAGACATATTTTCAACTTTATCCTTATTAAATATTATATATAAGTGTCTTAATAAAGATAATTAGAATTTTAATGTATCATATTTTAAAAAAGTAATAAATAAAGTAAGAATATAATTGAAAAAATAATTATAAAAGTTAAATAATATCGTATATTTTGAATTAAATAAGATTTATAGAAAATACTCCTCCGATCTTCCTTATAAGTCATTTTTATCAATCTCATCAATATCAATACAAAAAAGATATAAGAAATAGAAGTGTGTAGAATTTTAAATATACCTCTATATAATAAATTCAAAAATTAATGTCATGTTATTTTTTCTCACTCATGAAGAATAATTTTAAAAATAAATTTTAAATATTATATAAAAAGTCGTATCATAATTTATAAATAAGATTAAATATACTTTTTAAAATATGACTTATAAATGAGATTGAAAAAATATTTTATATTGTGATTGAGAAAGAGTAATAAATAGCGTTATGTCCACGGGAAAGAAAACATCAAAGAGAGTGTTACTAATGATGAAGATGAAAATGATGATGATGATATACCTTGAAATGTGCTAATGGCTTTCGTTAAACCAATGAATATTAATATCCGATATAAAATTTATGGTAAATCATTACATTTTTTATTGTAAATTACAAGATATTTTTAAATAAAATCTCATATATTAATAAATCTCATTAAATATACTTAACAATTTTATCTTTTTAAAACAAAAATATAAACTTTTAAAAATACCCATCGTTTAATACATTAAAAAAAGAAGAGACAGAAATTAATTATAAAGAGAGAAAATGTAATTTTAGAATTAATATATTTAATGAAATATTAATTTACCCAAAGTATCTTATATTTTAGGATGAAAAAATTCTTTTAAAAGTGTCCTATAATTTAAAATAGAAGGAGTAATGTATTTACAAATTACTATGCTTTGATTTGTTTCCCAACTTTTATATAATTAATAATACAAGAAACTTACCTAACTACATCTTAATACATACTATCTTGATTTTGCCTCATTTCATTTGCATATCTTTTTAGTAGTGACTAGAGGCAGTCTTAGACCAAACCCAAAAAAAAAAAAAAAACAAAGAGAGAGACTTGAGGCAGTCACAAAACCAATGGGAATATCTAACCCCCTTTCACTATCTCACTCGTATACGCACTATTTTAGAATTTTTGTTATAAAATTATAAATTAGAGTTAGTTACAGGAACAATAAAAAATGTTTAAAAAGTTCATTTAGTCTCGTTTATAAGTTACAGTACAATCCTTTAAATAATATTTAAAATATATTTTTAAAATTATTTTTTATAAAAAAATAAAATTACTTTTTAAATTTATTACATAAGAATATATTTAAAATTTTATATACTTTTATTTTTTATATTATTATTAATAAAATTAATAAAAATAATTTATAAAATGGACTGGAGCAGTGTAATGTAAGTGGCTTAACTGATTGTAAAAGTTGAACTTGAATTAAGTTTCGGAGCATTCAATGAACCAAATGCATGTAGCACGTCACATTTCATTTATGTACCTGCGAAAAACATGCATTTATGAACTGAATCTCTCTTCCATGAACTGACAGACTGAATAGTGACTTAGATTCTAGAGCCGAGGTGAAAGTGTGAGACTGGTAAATGAGAAATGAACCATACGCCCATACACATGGACTTATTAATAATATTCTCTTTGTTTATAAATATAAAATATTTTTAATTAAATTTTATTTTTTAATAAAATATTTATTTATTTTTAAAATAATTTTATTTTTTTATATTTACTCTTATTAAATACCTTACAATAAATATAAAGTCATTCATCTAAGGATATTTTTAAAAAAAGACAATTATTATATCTAAAAAGATTAAAAATGTTTTACAATTTTAAATATATAACTTCTCAAAAAATGTCTTATATTTTTTAACAGAGAGAATATATTCCTTCATTTTATATTAAAAGTTATATTCAACCACTTCTTTTTTTTTTTTTTTTTTAAAGCTAAGGTATGTTGGGTATTGGGGATCAGACTTGTCAGAAATTAGACCATGCCTTTGGACTTAGAAAATATTTATAGATCATCCAACGACTGGGTCCTTGTATCTATGGCGAGATGTGATTCCATAACTTTGTAAATTAGGGGATTTAATTTTATAACTTTATAAATTATAAATTAAATTCTTACTAATTGGATTAACATTATTGGTATATTCAACCACTTTATCAAAATGAAGGATTGATGATTAATTCATTAACTTGATAAAAATAATATCAATTTTTAATTTTGTAGGTATTTAAATGATTTTTTAAAATTTATATCATATTCTCTATCATAATTATTGACTTTGAATGCGGATAGTATTAAAAAATTTAATTACTATCTCATCATGTGATTGATAATTAGGGTTATTCATCTTTTCTGAGTGGTGCTTTATAATAACTATTGGAGTGAGTCCTTTATAATTCAAATTAAAAGGCAATTTTTTCCAACTAAGCTTGGTTTAAAATGCAAGACATTTAGTACTTTTTAAATTTTTTTTAAAATTTATCCTTGTATCAATTAACATCAACATGTGAAATATAACATGACTAAACACTGCTTCTGACTCTTCATAACAAAGAGGTCAAGGAAAAAGAGAAATATATGTCATTTTCATGAAAAAAAAAGAAAATGAATAATTACTTTGATTAATATATGAAATATTGTTGAAAATGGTTTATAATATGAGAGGAGGGATTATAGTTTTTCATATATCATATATATTAATATATAAATAATTTTAAAGCATATATTCTATACAAATCACATCAATAAGTTTCTCACCTTAGAGCAAGTTAATTGCATATAATCCCTTAAATTTTGAATTGCAACAAATTCTTAAAAAAAAAAATTGTATATGTACACATAATTTAGCTAGTAATAAAATGTGATCGGTTGCAATAGTTACCTGAAAAAAATAGAAATTATATTGTAAACTTTAAAAGTTATCCACATATGGTTTTTTTTTAATTAACACTTTAATAAATTATTTCTAATAAGTTCAGATATACATCCCGGCTAACAAGAAGATAAAGATCTCACTGAAGAGAATATATTATTGAAACAATCAATGAAGGACAAAACAAAAGCAACCGAATGCAGAAGATGAACATGAACAAGCCACCAATCTCTTACATCATAAAATCCCATAAAAGCAGCTTCCCTCTTCTCTATCAGTCTCTTGTTTCAGAGTCAGCAGCAAGCATAAGAAGAGAAGAGGAGGAACAAGAAAATAATAAAAAGAAAGATGAAAGAAGAAACCTGAATCGAAATCAATGTATTTACACATTGTCTGACCAAATAACAAAAGTACAGCAACAAACAAACCAGCAAGGGACAGCCATGAAAGCTACCATTATCTGTCATTTTGTGCCCCAAACCATGTGCCTGCATTATATCATCCCTGCCCTTCTTTCATCTTTCTCTCTCTCTCTCTCTCTCTCTCTCTCTCTCTGATCCTGCAAGTTTCATACCCTTTTCTTTACCTCTCTAAAATGTTACCTCTACCTAATTTTCCTAACCACATCATAGTCAAACCCTCCCAGAAAGTACAAGAAAGATGGAGACCAGTTAATTTGCAGATTCAGGATATTTTTGGCTCAAGAAGACTTGAGAGACAGGGAACAGGAATCAAATTGTTCTTATTTAGATATATACTTATCTCTGGATATGTTAGACTGAGGAGAATAACAGTTAAATGAAATGTTAAAAATGAATCATTCTCCTCAATTTAAACATACCCTTATAGAACTTTCTACATGGATCACTTCTTCTTGGTCTTATCTTTGTTGCTGGAGAAGATTGAACCCAAGCCAAATAAATTTGCAGACGGAACATTGATAACAGGGTTGACTCTAACACCATTATGAACATAAGATCCATGAATTTTCTTTAATGGAGGCTTTTGATAAGGCCTTGTGGGATTATGTTTATGGGGATTTTGCTTCATGTTGGGACCTTCCTTTGAAAGTGGCATCCTCTTAACACTTGGAGTAGGAGCAGAACCAGTTGAGTTGCTTCTGGATAGAAGTGGCAAAGGGCACAAGCTTCTTCCATAACCACCACTACCACAGCTGCTGCTTCTTTTGAATCCCCAGAATGACTTGTTAGTATTAGAATTCTGCTTCTCATCCACTTCATCATTATTCACAACAGGTCGTTGCTGCTTGATCTCTTTGAGGCTTCCATTCTTGGTTGTTTTGCTGGTTGAAGCATTTTCACGAACAGTGTGTGTGTGTGGAACCTGGGGTTGATGAAGATGAGGAAGTGGTGACTGCTCTGTTTCCTTCAAATGAGCTTTCTTCTTCTTCTTCTTGATCTCAGAGGGAAGCATTTTGCCATCTGAGAAAAGCTCATCTGCAGAAGATGACTCTTGCTCCGAGCTCTCACGAACACAAACATCAAAATCAAAGCTGGAGTTCAAACCAGAGGGGTTTGATCTGAAAGGAGTTTGCTCAACTGGGATAACATCAGATTGAGAGAAATCATGAGAGAATGAGATTCTCGGACTCATAGTAGAAACCCCACAATTCTCAGAGCAAAGTTCGACAGCCATTTCGATCAATCTTTGGGAAAAACTAGGAACCAAACAGACCCAGAGCGAGATTTGAAGAGAAAAAACAGCAAAGAAAAAACAGAGGAGGATGGATAGTACTGTTGAATAGCTAGAAAGAAGGAAATAAAGGGAAGGCTAGAATAAAAAGGAAGTCAGGAAACAAGAATAACGTAAAAGAGAGGAATTGGATTTTCAGAAAGTAAAAAGAAGGAAAGAATTGAATTCTCTCTCTCTCTCTCTCTCTCTGATGAGTGTGTCCGACACTTGAAATGAATCAAGAACGAGTTTGCAACTTTAAGCGGTCCAAAGAAGAGGAGGTGGAGGAGGAAAGGTTTGGGAATGAAAATGGCGTATGGGTTTGCAGGAAAATCAAGGAAGATGATGGAGACCTTGGGAACTAGCCTTAACCACCATGAGTGACATGTTTGTTTACGTTGATTTAAGCTGGCTTTTTGGAGAAGTACAGAGAGATGTGAAACAATGTGGGGAGAGAGAAGGGGGGGGGGGAGATTATGGAAGGATTAGGTTAATAACTAACAACATCCGCGTGTTTCCAATTCGAAATTAGCAAAAACCTAAAACATGTTTTTTAAGTCACTATATGCTTATTCTGGTCCAAAAAAAAAAAAACTATAATCCTAATACTATAGTTTTCTTTTGGGAGAATGACAAGTAAATAACCCATGAGAAGATTAAGATTTTTTAAGGATTTTAATACTGAAACGTTGGTTAAAAAAGGATTTTAATACTAAAAGATTAAAAAAAAAGAAGTACTAAATTTATTAATTATGAAGAGATTCTAACTTGATTTAACATCTTTGTGAGGTACTTATTTGTTGTTCTTCGTAGTTTTTTTTAATCCCACAAAACTAGGCATTTGGTCCTGGTACGAAGCTTCATTTTATTCTTTTAATTTTAGGTTGATGTATAATGTTAGCCTCCTCATTCTATATAAATTTTTAATTTAATTCTTTAATTTTATAAATTATATTTTTAATTACAAAACCATAATATCGTTAGTTTTAAATAATTATTTTTTTATATTAATCATTTTTTTAAAAATTAAACTTGATAAATTAACATTTAAAAATGTTTTATCAATATTTAAACATTCAATGCAAAAATTTTGTAATAAAATTAATAATGTTATGGTTAAATAATTGAATATATATTCTATAAAATTAAGTAATTAAAATAATTTTTTGTATAAAATTAAAAAAATAAATATATATTTTAACCTTAATTTTATAAAATATTTTTTAATCCTTCAATTCTAATATCGTTAAATGATAACATTATGATTATTGATAAAAATATTCATTACTAAACGTGACATTGACGTTGTGGTCATGATATATAATTCTTAATTAGTCGAGTTTATAAAATAAAAATTTAAGATAAAAATAACTATGACTCATGAATTTTAAGACGTCTTTATTTATAGATCTAGATTTCCAATTGGTATTTACCTTAAAAATAAATATTTATGATATTTTTTAAAATGACCTTTTTTTTTTTTGGAAAGAAGAGAGGGAGAGAGTCTGCTCTGCCAGTCAATGATAAAAAAACTTGGAAGCTTGAAACTTCAAAAATAAAGTTAAAAAAATCAGAAAAAATTACTGAAGGATCATTAAAGAGTTTAATATTTGACAATAATTTCTAACAAATAAATATTAATAAATTAATAAGTAAAAGTTATTATTTGGAGAGTTATTTTGAGATCCCACACAATACAATTACATATTATAAGGTCATCGTCAAATATATTTTGACATGCCTGTAATTCTTTCTTATCATTTTAATAAGAATCGATCTATTAGGGTCATTGTCAAGTACATTTCTTGCTTCTTCAATGATACTCTGTACAGAAAATTTGCTTCCATTGTCATTCAAAAACATCCCCCCACTATTTTAAATCTCAAATACCAAAAAAAAAAAGTCAACAATACTTTTCTAATAAGTTGACCAGGTTGACTAAACCAACTTCTGTTAAATAAATTGACCAAATAGGAATACAAAATTAGCTTTAAACGAATACAAAAAAAAGTAAAAACAAGTGGCTTTAATTTGTTACGTAAAGTCGAATAATACAATTTCGCAAATTAAAAAAAATATGAAAGTTAATTTGATTCCAATAGAAAATACCGACAAGAAGAATATGCAACCTGGGCTCTTGACATGCTGGAGAAAAAGATCGAAAAAAGTGGGAAAACAAAAGCAAGTTAAGGCACCAATGGGCGCTGGGCACATGATAGAGTTGATAAGGGCTATTATTAGCATTTTTTAAGGTGGGAGTTTGAATTATAGGGAGTGACAGATGTGATAATTAACGTAATCTCAAAGAGGTTGTCTCATCGGTACCTCACTACCACTGTAAGGTCTCCTCGCGGGGGGTCCGGATTAATCTGGGGCAAACAATGAACCCAAGATACCTCAGGATACCGGATGGTTTATACCAAAAAAAAAAAGCAAGCTAAGGCAAGGAAAAGAATATGCTAAAATTATATTATATTTTATTTATATATGATCTGATATGGATATGGTTATATATTCATTTTTTATTATATTCTATTGTTAATACTAAATACGATGCATGTATCCAAATCCAATAACAAGGTTATACTTTATAAACCAAGTTGAATGCGCAAAAATTATATATATATATATATATATTGAAGAGAAAACAACATTCAAACTAATCGGATTGCGAAACAAGCTCTTGCATTGCTCCATTTTCTTTTCTTTTATTTTTTTGTTTTATTGGTTGAATGCGTTGCTCCATTTTCTATCTCTAAAAGAAACTGGTTCTTTTCTTTCTTGTTATGTAAAGTAGTTATATTTTTAATTTTTTATTTATCAATACATACATATATGTTGTTTGATTCTATTTAGAAGTTACTTTTGGTATTTTTATTGAAATTGAAAAAAATCTTAAATCTCACTAACTCTATTTAAAAATTCAATAAATTTTTAACTTTATTTCAATTAAATATAATTACTTTAAAATAAGGATAAATATGTATTTTTGCCTTTGAAATATTTTTCAAAGAGCACCTAGCATTCTAAATTATTAGTCAAAGCAATTGTACATGTAAAGTAATTAAAATAAAATATTTTTGTCTTCGCCATAAAATTTCCAAAATTGACTATTAGAAAATGCTAATTAGAACCCTCTAACGTTGATAACTAAGAAATTTAACGATAAGGGCAAAAATATTGTATTTTGTAACAGCTCTCTGGGTTACCATTGCCTCTTCAGGGTCTTTTTCCAGTGCTGGATAACACACATGTCACCACATGATTGCCGACTTTCCCATTGGTGGTACAGTGGTTATTCCTCACCCCACCCTTACGGAGGTCTTTTGGAACCTCCTCAGACTCAAACTTCCAACCTTTATCACCTTAATGAAGTTGAGGCTAAGTCTGGCACCATTAAGTCAGTTGACTCAATGGTACCAGGTTCAACTCAACTTTGTTATGTAGGAGAGGTTGGAGGATTGAACCTGGGGAGGTTCTTCGCAAGGGAAATAATCCTGCATACTATTGCAGAAAAACTTTTGTCTCCTGATGCTCACCGTAAGAGGTGGGATCGTCCTGTTGTGAGGCCTAGGGGGAGAGTGTCCAGCGCCACAAAAGACCTCGGGGAGGCGGGATGAGCGAAGGGCTATTACATATTTTAATTACTTTAAAAATAAAATTGCTTCCACTAATAGTTTATAGTGTTGGATGCTTTTTGGAGAATATTTTAAGGGAAAAAAATGTACATTTATCTTTAAAATAAAATACTCTAGTATTTAATAAATTTTCTGACATTTAATAAGGAAAAAATGATAAAGATGAATATAATTATCATTAAGATGTATTATAAATGAAATCAAAATAAATAATTTGTTATTTTATACAAAGACTCGAGGAGTATGTATAAATCAATTTGATACATAGGATAGGAAATTCATATTTTTATTTTTTTGCTACAGGAAATATCAATTGATGGAGTCTGAGTGCCTTACAGCGCTAAATTTTAAATTCTATGAAAACTCAATTTTCGATTATGTTTGATTATTAGGCATGTTTGAATTTAATTTCTAAAATTTGATAAATATCTAGTTATCCTATGGGGAAAGGACTAAATAATTAAATTAAACTTAAATAAAGCATGAGATATTTAGAAATTCAAAATAAAATCAAAAGTATTTTAGTGAATTGGTTTAAAAGAAATGTTTTAAAAGATGGACCGGATTCTACCAAAAAAAAATAAAGAAAGATGAACCGGATATTAAATTAAAAAAGTCAATTGGTCTCAATTTTTATGATTTAACTAGTTAGATTGATGGCTAAACTAACAATGTACTAATTAAATAAAATTTAAGAAAAATTATATTAAATACATATATAAATTATATATAAAAAATAAGTCTATAATATGTCTAGTTGTTAATAAAATGATATAACAAAATCATAAATCAACAATACGATAACTTATAATTTATAATTTATCAAATATAGATGGGGCTTGATTAAATTAAATATGGATAAATTTAAAAGTATTTATATTTGCACGAATAGTTGTCAATATTTTCTTAAAAACTTAGTCACAAATCATATAATATATATGTGAAGGGTCCAAAATGAAGTTTGACTTTTAGTAGGGGTCTAACTTTTTGAAATTTTTTATAGTTTTTTAAATATTTTTTATATTATGTATGTTTAGAACCATTCATTTTTTGAAAATAGTTCCAATTTCAATTTTGGCTCAATGCCAGTTTCCAGTTCAATAATGACTCAACTTTGATCCAACTCGACTTAATTATAAAAATAATCTTTTTTGTTTGAATTGAGCTATTAACGACTTTAGTCGACGATCTAATTAGTTTGTTTAAAACAATAAAATAAAAATTGCTACTCTTATTTCATGATTTGCAATTCTCAAGGCAAAATTTGTAAGTAAAATTCACTCACTTGTAAAGGTAACACTTGTCGAATACTTCTTTCAGATTACAATATAAGTCATTTTTTAGAAGTCATGTTTAGTTCAAAATATAGGATATTGAGTATGTGTTATATATTTTTGTCCAATTACATTCTTACTTTATTGACTAATTAATGAGGGTGTTTTCAATAAATCAAATATTATATTTATTATACACAATGGCATGATTGGAAAGATGCAAATTTTTTTAAAAAATTAAGGTTTTAACCAACTTTTTTTAAAAACATAAATTAGTTAATAAAAATTTATATTGTAGTTTGGAAGAAGTATATTATTGCTTGAAAAATGTTTTCTTTCACAAATTAATGTATCTTATTTAAAAAGAGTTTTAAATAAAGGTATGAGAATAGCAAATCACTGAAAATAGTGAAGTGTTTGACAAGTTTTTTCTTTGCAAATTAACTAGTTTTACTTACAAGTACTTGTTTTAATAGTTGCAAATTATGAAATGAGACTAACTAATTTTTAAACTAATTCATTAAAAAAATATTTGGCCTTTATT